CTCCTTTTACATCTCCTGTTACATCTCCTGTTACATCTCCTTTTACATCTCCTGTTACATCTCCTGTTACATCTCCTTTTACATCTCCTGTTACATCTCCTGTTACATCTCCTTTTACATCTCCTGTTAATCTCCTGTTACATCTCCATTTAATCTCCTGTTACATCTCCTGTTACATAATCTCATGTTACATCTCCTGTTACATCTCCCGTTACATCTCCTGTTACATCTCCTGTTAATCTCCTTTTACATCTCCTTTTACATCTCCTGTTACATCTCCTGTTACATCTCCTGTTAATCTCCTGTTACATCTCCTGTTACATAATCTCATGTTACATCTCCTGTTACATCTCCCGTTACATCTCCTGTTACATCTCCTGTTACATCTCCTGTTACATCTCCTGTTACATCTCCTGTTACATCTCCTGTTACATAATATCATGTTACATCTCGTGTTACATAATCTCATGTTACATCCCTTGTTACATAATCTCATGTTACATCTCCTGTTACATCTTCCTAGACTAAAAAGATCAAAATGAAAGCACCCAAAAAATGCTTGTTAAAAAAAATCTCCTTTCCAAAATCGTACTAGAAAGTGTCAAATAATGTCGCACAAAATTTCAGAGTTTTACAGTCATTTGACTAAAAAAAATGCGTGGGGAGCCCATGAACTCAAAGTTCTTTGCAAATCGCCAAGAATTGCAAAAGCGGTATTGCTAATTTCATTCCACTTCAAGATTAAGATCAATAGGAGCATACAAGAGCAATGGTAGGCAGTTGAGAGAACTCATATTTCCATGATTAAATAATATGTATCATAACACATTTGCGTCTATTGTCTCAGGCCTTCCAACCCCGAGTGCATGATACGCTCATAAAGTAGCCCTTGCAACCAGTGAAATATCCTCATCAACATCACGCACAGAAACATTTAAAATCCCCTCTTCTTGCATAGGAGCCAAAATGATCAATAAATATCGTGGGCCCTTAAGATATAGAAGAAGAATAGTGCTTGGACTGCTGCTTCTACTTCTGCATGGAGAATTTGAGTAGTTTTCATCGTCCGTTGCTGGAGGAACATTAAGGATATCAGTGTCTATCTTGATATTTTAATTATACAGTTCTGAGCTGGATTTACATGTTAACTAGTAAAGAAAGCAAAACTTCTAGACGGTCAAATAATCTTGGTTGGGATGGGGTCAACACTAGAACATGTAGCTTTAGATGCAATGATGAGGCGTCTTAACTTGTCATAAAAAAACAAGAGCGAATTCCTCTAGAGGGTTGCCTTCAAAGACATTGTCCACTGAAGACAAATCACAACGTTCCCCAAAACTTTTTCTGAATCTTTTAATTTTTTCAGTGAAGAACTTGTCCAGTTTAACTGCCGCTTGCTCGCTGCTCATGTCAGGCAAAACAACGGGTGCGGATTTCTTCCCGAGAAGATCATTTACCACAAAGAACATCTTGTGAGAGTCAGTACCTGCTGCCTTAAGGAGAGACTGAGCATGCTCAGACTTTGCGTGCCTGATTTATTGCCCATACCAACTCCTTGCTTTCCGAAACCATTGTTTGTCAACTTCACGACCACGTCTTCTTCAGCGCTTCTCAGTTAGACACCTGATAAGCTTGGCTTTCCGAACACTGGGACCGAACCAAGTGGAGTCAGATCTGTCACTAAAAAACTTATTTAAACTCGACTGGGACCGAATAAAGGGGCGTCAAGTCTGTCACTAACAAACTTATTTGACACAGGGGCATGTGTATGCAACAGAAAAGTGAGATTCTGATTTTAGAGGACTAGTTGTTCAATATCTTTAGGTGGGGACTTCACTAACTGAATCCCAGAAAGACGATTCCAAAAAGATTGAATATCCTTTATTTAAGTTCGACATTTGAATTTTCCTCCTCCTCTTTTAGGATCCTGTTCCTCATTGGGTATTTGTTCCCGGTAGGATTCTGAAGGTCATGTTTAGAGAAAATCCCCAGGAAAGTCTAGAAATGAATAGAACCAAACTGATATTTCAATTAGATTTTAGATACCATTATATACTCCATAGAACAATTTAGAACTTTCTAGCACATTCTAGATTTAATATAATATCCTCCTCGAAACGTGCAAAAATGACTTTTCTAAATAATTATACCTCGACTAAGAAAAATTATACAACTAAATATACTACTATAACTAGAGTATATTTAAGTTTAGAGAGGGGCCACAGAAGGGGCCCGGTCTATAACTGAACCGAATCAGTCTTGTCTGAGATGGGTATATATATGTATATGATTTTTTATCCTCCTTCTATCTTTTACCTCACTAGAATTCACTTCACACGAATTGAAAGTAACTTAAGATCATGATAGCCCCAAGTAACCATGATACATCACAAAGTAAACACAAAATGTTCAAAAGTAAACACGACAACACATCACCAAGTAAGGATGACGCATTACCAAGTAAACACCACACATTACCAAGTAAACACCACACATTACCAAGAGAACACCACACATTACCACGTAAATACCACACATTACCAAGTAAACACCACACATTACCACGTAAATACCACACATTAAAAAGTAAACACCACACATTACCAAGAGAACACCACACATTACCACGTAAATACCACACATTACCAAGTAAACACCACACATTACCACGTAAATACCACACATTAAAAAGTAAATACCACACATTACCAAGTGAACACCAAACATAACCAAGTAAAAACCACACATTACAAGTAACATCACACATTACCAAGTAAACACCTCACATTACCAAGTAAACACCTCACATTACCAAGTAAACTCCTAACATTACCAAGTGAACACCTCACATTAACAAGTAAACACCTCACATTACCAAGTAAACACCTCACATTACCAAGTGAACACCACACATTACCACGTAAATACCACACATTAACAAGTAAACACAACAAATTACCACGTAAATACCACACATTACCAAGTAAACACCACACATTACCAAGTAAGTACCACACTTTACAAGTTAACACCACGTGAGTAGACAGAGGTGCTCACAACCATGTGAGAAGACAGGGATGCTCACAACAATGTGAGAAGACAGAGGTGCTCACAACCATGAGAGAAGACAAAGGTGCTCACAACCATGTGAGATGACAGAGGTGCTCACAACCATGTGAGATGACAGAGGTGCTCACAACCATGTGAGATGACAGAGGTGCTCACATCCGTGTGAGATGACAGAGGTGCTCACAACCATGTGAGATGACAGAGGTGCTCTCAACCGTGTGAGATGACAGAGGTGCTCACAACCATGTGAGAAGATAGAGGTGCTCACAACCATGTGAGAAGACTGAGGTGCTCACAACCGTGTGAGAAGACAGAGGTGTATACAACCTTGTAAAGAATACAAGGTTAACCTAAATACAAGTGAGTAGAAAGGGGTGCCAACAAAACATACCAGGATGGTAGGAGTTAAAATTTCCAAACTCAAATTAAATGAAAATTAACATTGTCAATTGTTGTCATAGTTTTCAATCATTTATTCAGTTTTTTTCAGCTGATCAATGGTTAGAACATGTTCCAATCAGTTTTCAATGATATTTCAAACAGACAACACTGTAAGATGATTATTTTATTTGCTATCATTAGTTGTATTGTTCCTTTTACATTTTCAGTTCAATCGAATAAATTTCATTAGATTTTCATCTGTGTTATAGTTTTCTCTTGTCCTTCGGGATGACGTAAAGCAGAACTGTTCATTTTCCGAACAGTACTGGAACGCCGGCAGCAATGAGCATATCGTTATCAGCTCTGAAACGGAATTTCAAAAGTCATTAAATTTTTGAGTGTTTCGTTAACCTGAAAGGTTGTGTAAGACAATGTGCATTGATTGGCGTAAGCAGTTTCAGTAAGGATTATTTTTCACCTTATGATTTTTCAATACAGTGCAATGCTTGGCTTACTTATTTGCAATAATTGTCCTTAGTTTGGCTAAGGTATTAACAATAATGTGCATCGATTTGATTAAGTACCTTAGATTGCATCAATTAATTTGCATGTCCAAACTAAGTAACTGGACGATCAAATCAACCAAGTGAATGTAGATGAAGTTCACATTAATTGATCGCATGATACCACTATGGAAATAGCGACACCAGCTCTCCAGCAATCGACAGATTTCTTGACATCGCTTTATCTCTAAAGTTGTTACAATCTTCAAGTTGATCTACTCCTAAGGACACGTAGCCTATTCTTGACATTGCTGTATTTCTAAAGATGCTAGGACCCTTCACGTTGAGCCACTCATCGCGAGCAATGCCGTATTTGAACCCATTTTGTAACTCATGTTTCAATCCTCAGCTATGGAAATGTTTGGTCGAATGTTACCGTGGACAAAAATTTATAAAGGTTTTACAGGTTGTTTTTTTCCTGACACATAAAACATAGTTTATATACCATGCTACAAACAGCGCAGGCTCTAGTCGCATCTTTGCTATTTTAATTAAAACTAGTTTAAAAGGAAGTTTCTATTGGCTCACATTATAAATTCATCAATGGTGACTAGCTCGTTCCCATCCGTGTCGAAAGCTCTGTACATGAGTTTGTTGTCTTCCTCATTTACAACACCGTTGTCATCTTCGTCAAACTCATCATACACTGAATTTGCCACAGTAGAGGTAAACCCATAACCCTTAGTTACGAGTTTTATGAAATAATCCCTTTTGATTTCTTTGTCGCTTGGGTCTTGTTTCAAACTCTGAAAAATAAAGTGTTTTTTGTTTGTTTGTTTGTTTTTTAAAGTATCTGAACAATGGTCTTGACTTTATAATGATAAACTTTCATCCAATAAGAAGTTGAAATTTATTTATTTTTTAAACGGATGTCATTTTAAAAAAAATGACTTTCAGGCAACTGTTATATATTACATGCTGATCCCCTTTTTATATATTAAAATATAGGAATAAGTCAACATCATTTAGTCCAGTGAATCAGATTGAAATTTTAAAATAGTTATAGCATATGCGTTCTCAGATTAACACGATTCTTACAAAATTTAATTTCACTTTTTATTACTATTATTTTAAAATGGATATTTCCGGCTCTATTTTCAGCTCACAATAAGTAAAAAAAAAAAAGAAGCCAATCTCAAATATTCCTTATATTAACGATATCGAGTTTCCGATACCGGAAAATGGTAAACTATTGGCGAATGCAAGAAGCTCATTAAATATCTCTAACTCGACTTCTGACTAGTATTGATCCTGGTTTACAGAAATGTACTTTAAATTTCATCCCACTATATTTATTTGTACTTCTTTGAAAAATCGTACAAAGTGTATTGTGTATAATACTAGAGTCCTAGAATTTTTTTTTTACAAAATAAGTACAATATATTTTAATTTGAATGCGGCCCTCTGCACAAAAAAGTTTAGAACCCCTAAGATTCTCTGTATTGAAACTTTCTAGGAACCCAACGCGATAATTCATTAAAATCATTGTTTCTTAGGGGTGCACCACTCCGGGGGATGGGGGTACTGCCACCACCCTCGAGAAATTCAAAACAAAAATAAAACAAAAATATATTTTTTTAAAGCGATGCCCAATAGTCCTTTTTATAAACATTTAAAAAATAAATAACTGGTGCCTTTAGCCGAATACAGTTAGTGGGCCCAGTAAAATTTCTCCATTCTCCATATATATGATGTTCCGTATATTTAAGACTAATCTTGTTACAGGCTTACACCGTTGGATTATAAGTATAAAAAAAAAGTGGCCACTTGAAATTATAAGCCAAATCTTAGACCCCTTTGATTTCATATATACGTATTTTTAATTATCTATTTATTTTAAATTGACAAGACTAAATACTTATATGTAACATTGCAAATCCCCTCTACATGCATAGGAGCCAAAATGATCAATAAATTGATCGTGGGGCCTTAGAAGAAGAAGGTATATACATATTTTTTTTCCAGACAACTTATTACTACTTCTAGCACTATTTTTTTTTTTTTTGGATTTCCCAGATTTAAACACATTTATTGCACTGTATATGGTAACAAGCAGAATATGTGACTTACTTCATAATATGCAAGGCTCTCAATACGGTCAATGATGTTGTCGCGATTCGTGTCGATTTTGTTAAACGTAGCCAGGGCCAACACATAGTGTGGGAGAGAACGGAGTGCTTCTGACTGCGCCAAAGTCAAGGGCAACAGGGATATCAGAAAAACCCAGAGGAAGTGCAAATTTTTCCTGGAAATTAAACAATATGCTTTTAAGGAATTTCCATGTTATAATATGTTCAAGTATTCTCAGTAAAGAAATTTGCCAGGAAATTGGAGAAATTTTGTTGGCATTTTGATTCCGACGGCTTATGTACCTTGTACATTATTATATACATTAGAAAATGACGTCAGCTATCCTTCAAGCTCAAAGCTCTTAATGCCCCTCCCAAGGCAATCCACCACACCCCCCCCTCAGGCTCTAATAGCCCCTAATTATCGGCCACGAAGCGGAACGTTGGAGATGTCCTCTGGCCGGGACAGCCCATGCCCGTAAATTCCCTCGACTGACTCTGTTTACACGAGCCATCTCAACCTATGGGACCTATGGGCCATCTCAACCTATGGGCCATCTCAACCTAATGATATTCGGTCCGCCGGGGATGTTGCTCTTTCAGCATCACCAGAAGACTTTCCCCATGGCTCCACATGGCATATGTGCGTTCTAATATATCCCCTTGCCCATCCAGGGCAAGCGCCGGGAGCCAACTAAAAGGGATTCACTGCCGTGGGTTTCTAGCGCGCACGACGTTCACCAAAAACGTTGGAACGCAATAACTTCCCCGAGAAAGCCTCATCTTATGGCTGCCTATATAGAATCGTTAGACTGAGCCTGCTGCTAACAACCTTATGTCTCAGCGGCAGCATGTTGAGAGCTGCTAGTAGCACTGGTAGTTCCGTGGTTCGTTGGAGTCGTCTCTTTGGTCGGCAAGCCACCACAGACTTGTCTAACAAAGCCCCAGCTACGATTATAACAACACTATAAATATAGATTCTATAGTATATAGTACGATAGCCTTTACTATAATAACACTATAAACTATACATTATAGTCTTTAGTACGAAGGCATATAGTATACTACCACTATAACCATAGAGTCTATAGTCAATAGGACGATGGTATTTCCCATACTTCCACTTTGGTAAATGTAAAATTTTGATACACGCGCAGACTAAATATGGAATGGCTTTCCCTGGCAGTGACAGTAACACCCCCTTTGAATCTTTACATTCCCAAATCAATGGAATTTTTCGTGCAGGCATCGGTAAGCTGGCGACTTCAAGTCTATGGCTTTCACGAAGATCTCCAGCAAACCAAGTTTGTAGCGGATTTCAGTAGCTGCTTTAAGTTATCACATGTCTCGTTCCTGTGGATAGCTTCATCTGCTTCTAATGGAACAGATGGAAGACGGTTAGGGTTCATGTGGATAGCTTCATCTGCTTCTAATGGAACATCTGGAAGACGGGTTAGGGTTCATGTGGGTAGCTTCATCTGCTTCTAATGGAACAGATGGAAGACGGGTTAGGGTTCATGTGGATAGCTTCATCTACTTCTAATGGAACAGATGGAAGACGGGTTAGGGTTCATGTGGATAGCTTCATCTACTTCTAATGGAACAGATGGAAGACGGGTTAGGGTTCATGTGGATAGCTTCATCTACTTCTAATGGAACAGATGGAAGACGGGTTAGGGTTCATGTGGATAGCTTCATCTACTTCTAATGGAACAGATGGAAGACGGGTTAGGGTTCATGTGGATAGCTTCATCTACTTCTAATGGAACAGATGGAAGACGGGTTAGGGTTCATGTGGATAGCTTCATCTACTTCTAATGGAACAGATGGAAGACGGGTTAGGGTTCATGTGGATAGCTTCATCTACTTCTAATGGAACAGATGGAAGACGGGTTAGGGTTCATGTGGATAGCTTCATCTACTTCTAATGGAACAGATGGAAGACGGGTTAGGGTTCATGTGGATAGCTTCATCTACTTCTAATGGAACAGATGGAAGACGGGTTAGGGTTCATGTGGATAGCTTCATCTACTTCTAATGGAACAGATGGAAGACGGGTTAGGGTTCATGTGGATAGCTTCATCTACTTCTAATGGAACAGATGGAAGACGGGTTAGGGTTCATGTGGATAGCTTCATCTACTTCTAATGGAACAGATGGAAGACGGGTTAGGGTTCATGTGGATAGCTTCATCTACTTCTAATGGAACAGATGGAAGACGGGTTAGGGTTCATGTGGATAGCTTCATCTACTTCTAATGGAACAGATGGAAGACGGGTTAGGGTTCCTGTGGATAGCTTCATCTACTTCTAATGGAACAGATGGAAGACGGGTTAGGGTTCCTGTGGATAGCTTCATCTGCTTCTAATGGAACAGATGGAAGACGGGTTAGGGTTCATGTGGATAGCTTCATCTACTTCTAATGGAACAGATGGAAGACGGGTTAGGGTTCCTGTGGATAGCTTCATCTACTTCTAATTGAACAGATGGAAGACTGGTTAGGGTTCATGTGGATAGCTTCATCTACTTCTAATGGAACAGATGGAACACGGTTTAGGGTTCCTGTGGATAGCTTCATCTACTTCTAATGGAACAGATGGAAGACGAGTTAGGGTTCATTTGGATAGCTTCATCTACTTCTAATGGAACAGATGGAAGACGGGTTAGGGCTCATGTGGATAGCTTCATCTATTTCTAATGGAACAGATGGAAGACGGGTTACCAAGGACACCTATCGAAGTAGATGATCTAATGGAACAGATGGAAGACGGGTTAGGGTTCATGTGGATAGCTTCATCTACTTCTAATGGAACAGATGGAAGACGGGTTAGGGTTCATGTGGATAGCTTCATCTACTTCTAATGGAACAGAGGGAAGACGGGTTAGGGTTCATGTGGATAGCTTCATCTACTTCTAATGGAACAGATGGAAGACGGGTTAGGGTTCCTGTGGATAGCTTCATCTACTTCTAATGGAACAGATGAAAGACGGGTTAGGGTTCATGTGGATAGCTTCATCTACTTCTAATGGAACAGATGGAAGACGGGTTAGGGTTCATGTGGATAGCTTCATCTACTTCTAATGGAACAGATGGAAGACGGTTTAGGGTTCATGTGGATAGCTTCATCTACTTCTAATGGAACAGATGGAAGACGGGTTAGGGTTCATGTGGATAGCTTCATCTACTTCTAATGGAACAGATGGAAGACGGGTTAGGGTTCATGTGGATAGCTTCATCTACTTCTAATGGAACAGATGGAAGACGGGTTAGGGTTCATGTGGATAGCTTCATCTACTTCTAATGGAACAGATGGAAGACGGGTTAGGGTTCATGTGGATAGCTTCATCTACTTCTAATGGAACAGATGGAAGACGGGTTAGGGTTCATGTGGATAGCTTCATCTACTTCTAATGGAACAGATGGAAGACGGGTTAGGGTTCATGTGGATAGCTTCATCTACTTCTAATGGAACAGATGGAAGACGGGTTAGGGTTCATGTGGATAGCTTCATCTACTTCTAATGGAACAGATGGAAGACGGGTTAGGGTTCATGTGGATAGCTTCATCTACTTCTAATGGAACAGATGGAAGACGGGTTAGGGTTCATGTGGATAGCTTCATCTACTTCTAATGGAACAGATGGAAGACGGGTTAGGGTTCATGTGGATAGCTTCATCTACTTCTAATGGAACAGATGGAAGACGGGTTAGGGTTCATGTGGATAGCTTCATCTACTTCTAATGGAACAGATGGAAGACGGGTTAGGGTTCATGTGGATAGCTTCATCTACTTCTAATGGAACAGATGGAAGACGGGTTAGGGTTCATGTGGATAGCTTCATCTACTTCTAATGGAACAGATGGAAGACGGGTTAGGGTTCATGTGGATAGCTTCATCTACTTCTAATGGAACAGATGGAAGACGGGTTAGGGTTCATGTGGATAGCTTCATCTACTTCTAATGGAACAGATGGAAGACGGGTTAGGGTTCATGTGGATAGCTTCATCTACTTCTAATGGAACAGATGGAAGACGGGTTAGGGTTCATGTGGATAGCTTCATCTACTTCTAATGGAACAGATGGAAGATGGGTTAGGGTTCATGTGGATAGCTTCATCTGCTTCTAATGGAACAGATGGAAGACGGGTTAGGGTTCATGTGGATAGCTTCATCTACTTCTAATGGAACAGATGGAAGACGGGTTAGGGTTCATGTGGATAGCTTCATCTACTTCTAATGGAAAAGATGGAAGACGGGTTAGGGTTCATGTGGATAGCTTCATCTACTTCTAATGGAACAGATGGAAGACGGTTTAGGGTTCCTGTGGATAGCTTCATCTACTTCTAATGGAACAGATGGAACACGGTTTAGGGTTCCTGTGGATAGCTTCATCTACTTCTAATGGAACAGATGGAAGACGGTTTAGGGTTCCTGTGGATAGCTTCATCTACTTCTAATGGAACAGATGGAAGACGGGTTAGGGTTCCTGTGGATAGCTTCATCTGCTTCTAATGGAACAGGTGGAAGACGGTTCCCATTGTGCAAAACATACAGCCTTAAAGCACAGATTCGAAGATTCTACAAATAGTCTCCAATGTGTGTGGGTCATGAGGGATGTCTAAGCTTCTCGCTATTGGTACAGAATACCAAATTACGGAATAAAGGCTTCGACCGCTTTGATGCTTTCAATATAGAGTAATTTAAAAAGCTTCTGCTAGAATAGTCCATTTGCGGAGTCTTCATCCTAGAAATTATCCCATGTTCTAAGATAAGTCCATATCACGAAAAAGTCATTTAGTTCTTTCTGTGTTAGTCTGTGTTTGGTTGTTGCTGTACCACTGTGTTAGTGTGTTTTGGGTTGATGATGTACCACTGTGTTTGTCTGTGTGGGGTTGTGCTAGTAAATGCATGTTAAATTCTACTTTCACATTCTTTTCTCAATTGTGCGTTCGTTCAGATGTCTACGAGTTCGTGTGTCTATGAATTCCATTCTCTATGTGGTCATATATCTATGAGATGAGATTTCTATGAATTCAACTGCCTATGAGTTCAGTTGTCTATGATATCAGTTATCTGTGAGGGATTGTAGGCATATGGTAATTTATCCACGTGGCTCTCTGTGCGTGTGGTCATTTCACGGCGTTGGTCAACTCCACGTCTCTACAAGATTGGTTAATCCATCAAGTCTTCCACACGTTGTAATACGCCGTACTAATTGAATCAACTCAAGTCTACTATCACAATAATCAGAACTTTAATATCTCATTATATACACAGGCTGTAAGTTCCATAAACACATGCATATAACGCAGAGACTGTAGAGACCGAACGAATTTCGGCTTCGGTTACGGCACCGAAAGTGGCCATTTGATCACTTTCGGCCTAGTTTCGGTTTTTGCCGAAACTGAAAAGTTATCTTTCGCTTTATTTTCGATTTCGGCCGAAGTTGACTGAGACTATCGGCCAACCGGCCGAAAGTGACTGAGGTTTTCGGTCATCTGTCAGAAGTCAGACTGTATGTCTCTAAGCTGACAATCTGATATTCATTAGTGATCGATGTCTTGCGGTCATTGTATGTTATATGACTAATACTCAGGGAAAGCTGCCCACAGCTGCATGATGAGCTACTTGTCCTATATTTCGATAAAATTACATTTCAATTAGGCCTAGACAAATGTCAACAGTTTTGTTTGTGGAAGAAAAGTTAAGGCAATGGTAATATTTTTGTCATTTTTTTTTTTTTTTTTTTTTTTTTGAAAAATAAATTTTGGACCTTTGGTTTTTTTATTTCTTTTTTTTTTGTTTTTTTTTTTTATTTTTTNCGTGTGGTCATTTCACGGCGTTGGTCAACTCCACGTCTCTACAAGATTGGTTAATCCATCAAGTCTTCCACACGTTGTAATACGCCGTACTAATTGAATCAACTCAAGTCTACTATCACAATAATCAGAACTTTAATATCTCATTATATACACAGGCTGTAAGTTCCATAAACACATGCATATAACGCAGAGACTGTAGAGACCGAACGAATTTCGGCTTCGGTTACGGCACCGAAAGTGGCCATTTGATCACTTTCGGCCTAGTTTCGGTTTTTGCCGAAACTGAAAAGTTATCTTTCGCTTTATTTTCGATTTCGGCCGAAGTTGACTGAGACTATCGGCCAACCGGCCGAAAGTGACTGAGGTTTTCGGTCATCTGTCAGAAGTCAGACTGTATGTCTCTAAGCTGACAATCTGATATTCATTAGTGATCGATGTCTTGCGGTCATTGTATGTTATATGACTAATACTCAGGGAAAGCTGCCCACAGCTGCATGATGAGCTACTTGTCCTATATTTCGATAAAATTACATTTCAATTAGGCCTAGACAAATGTCAACAGTTTTGTTTGTGGAAGAAAAGTTAAGGCAATGGTAATATTTTTGTCATTTTTTTTTTTTTTTTTTTGTTGAAAAATAACATTTGGACCCTAGGTTTATTCAATTCCTTCATTTGTGATATTTATCATAATTTTTTATAATTATCATGCTCATCACCGTTTTCATGGGCAAAGTTGAATAATATTGCCTAATCCTAGGGAATGTTAAAGTTTCAATTATTATTTTTGTAAAGCAAACTTAGGCCTTTTCAAACCATTTATTTCTTGAAATTCATCATTATCACGTCCATAAACATTGTCATTGACAAAATAACAAGGGTCTGCATGTATCAAGGGTGTGTATTATACTTATGTAGTAAGGCTACTGAAGACTTGTTTACTTATATGATTTTGCGTAAATTTATAAGTCTTTTGCGATCCCCGTCAGAACAACAATTTTAAGAGACCAGGTTCAAAAAAATTCCCCCAACCGGGTGAGGGAAGTGAGGTTGTGTGCCGAAATAAATCATTACGTCACCAGCGCAGAAAACCTAGTGTGTTGTTTGTTACTAGGCTAAATATTAATACATTGATTATCTTGTCAGCTATTTATGAAAACAGAAAGCATAAGTATGACGAAAACAGCGAAACATTCTGGTGATATTTTTATAGCTTTAATAACATATATTTAGGTGGCAATTGGCTCTATTAGAGCCACACTAATAATTGTACGTATAGTTTCTAGGTTGCAATTTTATTATAAAAGCAAAGGGCACTCAAGGTTCTATTGTGCATTAATTCCACCCCCCCCCCTTTTTTTTTCTCCAACTTTTCTCCTACCATACTAATTTAAAAACATTTTTTTTTAAATTTAAATTAAGTTTAAATTAAAATGGTAAAAACCAAAGAATTCATTTTTTAGGTTGCAATTTTATTATAAAAGCCAAGGTCACTCAAGGTTCTATTTTTCATTAATTCCACCCCCCCCCCCTTTTTTTTTCTCCAAATATTCTCCTACCATACTAATTTAAAAACATTTTTTTTTAAAGTTAAATTAAGTTTAAATTAAAATGGTAAAAACCAAAGAATTCATTAGATCAGGGCTCTCAAACTCAAATCATCCGTGGGCCGTTGGAGGTAGTGTCTGAGTGAGACTTGGTCGTACCAAGTATTCCACGCAAAAAGCGATTAAATATTCATTCAAGTAAAACTGTTACAATCTGCTCAACCTTTATGAATAACAAAAACCTGAAGGGTTCTCAGGGACTAGGCTCCACTTTCTTCCTCCTACTCACTGCTGCCAGAGACTGGCAGCGCTTATTTTTACACAGCTGAGCAACTTTTTTCTTGAGTGACGAAGCAACTGAGACCCTCAGTATTGCTCGAAGATGCTCATCAGTAAGTAGGGCCCTGAACTTTGACTTGTTAAAGTGCATAGTGGAAAATATGCTTTTCACGCAGATAGGTACTCCGTAAAAGTCATATGATCCGCCTAAGCAACCTGGAAGTCTCAGGGAAAGTAGAGGGCAGTGCGATAAAATGTCCATTCTTGTCTTTTCTTTCCATTCTCCTCCCTGCGCGAGGACTCTTGCACATTATAAGAGAAAGGGTCAGCAAAATGCTGAAAACTGTTGTCTGTGTTTTGAAATCTTTAAAAATGTGATCAAATTCAGTATACTTACTACTAAGTTACTACTAAATGGTGTGCCCCAGTCCATGAGTGCACTGCATGTTGGGAAATGGCAGAGGTTTTTTCTAAGAACCATAACACAAGTCTTGTGCAGAATGCCCTGACATGGTCATGAGCAACACTGACAAGCTACCCCTGCACAAGTTTTGTGCAGGATGCCCTGACATTGTCATGAGCAACACTGACAAGCTACCCCTGGTTTTGTAACTTTTTGCTGGGTACTTACAGCTCCTATGTAATTTCAAAAAGAAAAGCCAAGTCCATGAGCCGTTTGGGATCACTTAGTACAGAAACAACCAACCCATCCGTCTCCATGAAGGCTTTAAATGCTAAAAAATTTCAAGCATTAGGCAGGAGCAGGACAAATATCTGAATCATCGACGCAACGGAAGAAGCTTTGTAGGTAGAATGAATTTTGACTTTTTATAGTAGTAAAGGTATTTGTGCACAAACCCTTTTTTCAAAGACAGTCCTACTATATGGAACAGAAATTTTGAAAACAACGGCGAGCATTACGCAGAAAGTACAGACCTTCATCAACACTTTGCCTTAAGAAGATCCTGAAAAATCAAATGGGAAAATAGTATCACCAACAAAGATCTACTAGAAAGGACTCATCAGGCGCAGATTGACGAAGACATCTTAAATAAAAGATAGAGATGGATATGGTATACTCTCCGAAAACCCCGAGATAGCACAACCAAACATTTCCTAACATGGAATTCACCGGGGAGAAAAAAGCGAGGAAGGCCAAAGAATACATGGAGACGCGAGATAGAGGCAGACACGCAAAATATTGATTACACCTGGAAAAAAAACTGGAAAGGAAGGCATAGGTCCGTGATGAATGGAGAAGTAATTTTTTAACTTCCGGCCTAGTTTCGGTTTCGGCCAAAATCAGAAAATCACTTTCGGTCGGTCTCTAGGTCACTTGTCTGTTTGGTCACTTGTCTGTTTGGTCACTTGTCTGTTTGGTCACATGTCTGTACGGTCACTTTTCCATGTGGTCACTTGTCCATGTGATCAATTTTTCCGTGATTTCATGTGACCGTGTGGTCTTTTTTCCGTATGATCACTTGTCCGTTTTGTTATTTGTCGTTTTGTTCCTTTGCCTCTCTGGTAAGTAGTCAATGTCATCATTTGTCCGTGAGGTCACTTCTCTGTGTGATCACTTGTCCTTGTCATCTTTTTTCCCGTGTGTTTCCAAGTGTCCATGTGGTCTTTTTTCCGTGCGAACAGTTGCACGTGATTTTTTTAAATCCGTTTAGTCATTTGTCTATGTAGTTATTTTTTAACAATAATATCGGAGAATGGTTCAAGACCACGGTTGGAGTACGACAAGGCTCCTTGCTCTCCCCAACTCTCTTGAACATCTTCTTAGAGGGAATTATGTCGCATGCACTGGAAAGGGTCTGTAGGGACATTCAGCATTGGTGACAGAACATTCAGCATTGGTGACAGAGCATTCAGCATTGGTGACAGAACATTCAGCATTGGTGACAGAGCATTAACCAACCTACGTTTTGCGGATGGCATAGATGAACTTGCTTGAGGGGCTGGGCCAACTTAGCAAAGCGTCTCGACAAGACGTCATCGTCCTTTGGCATGCAAATCAGTGCAGAAAAGACATTCATTCATGACGGACAAAACCACCGGGATCACCACTGAAATTTAGATCGGGGAGGAAGGACTAGAGACTAGAGACAGTAGGAAGCTTCAAGTACTTATGAGCAATAGTATCGGAAGAAGCCTCCAAGCCCGAATTGATGTCCAGGATGGCCCAAACCACAACAGGACTAAAAAGTCTTAAGAAAATATGGCATGACAAAAATAGAGCTTCCGGCACCAAAACCAGGCATTTGCGCTCATTAGCCCTCTCCATTTTCTAGCATGCATGCGAGTCCTAGACATTAACAGCAGAACTTGAAAGATAAATAACGGTGATGGAGATGTTTTTGAAACATTCCTGGAATCTGCTATGGAGACAATATCTCTTGCAAACAAGACAAAGAAAAAATTCGTTACGCAATTGGGCAGTATGTTGACCTCCTGGGAATTGTAAAAAACGCTAACAGGAATGGTATGGCAACGTGACAAGAAAACAAGGGCGCGCCAAAGAAATCCTGCAGGGCACAACGAGAGGGGGGGGGAAGAAAAGAAAAACAGAGACAAAAATAGGAAGATAACATCAAAGAATGGACGACGAAATGCTAGGCGATGCTGTGCGAAACGCAGAAAACAGAAAAAAATGGGAGAGGGGGTTAAATTTCATTTCATCTGTCGCGCCCCAAAGAAAGGTCCGAGGACTAAGGGACATGATGATGATGATGACTTACATGACAGCTAGGATTCAAAAGATGTCTTTTACGTGGCACAACTGCTCAAAAGTCAAGTATGGCCACGATGTCGAAGGATATTGAGAGCAGCCCAAGCGTGTGTCTTTATAGTTGTCAGAGGTGACAAAAACTGGCCAGCTCATCATTAGCATGAAAAAATACATAGGCGGATCTTCAAATAGAGGAAACGTTGTATACGAAATAGAAACACGTCCCTCCAAACACCACGGCAATTCACAGAGACATTTAAATCTAGAGCCATAACGCACTTTCTTTTTCTATCTTTTACTACTCGTCACATTTTCTTCTCACCCCACCACCCCATCTCTCTCTCCCTCACTCTATCTCTCTCTCTCGCCAATATCTACCTCACTCTATCTCTCTCTCGCCGCATCTCTCCCTCACTCTATCCCTCTCTCGTTACATCTCTCCCTCACTCTATATCTCTCTCGCCACATCTCTACCTCACTCTATCTCTTTCTCGTTACATCTCTCCCTCACTCTATCTCTCTCTCGCCGCATCTCTCCCTCACTCTATATCGCTCTCTCGCCACATCTCTACCTCACTGTATCCCTCTCGCACTATATCTCTATCTCACTCTATCTCTCTCTCTCTCTCTCTCATTGCATCTCTTCCTGACTTTCTATCTCTAAATCACTCTCAGGCACACTCTATCCCTCACTTGTTCGTTCAATTACTCACTCTCCCTGTCCCATTCTCTCTTTCTATCAAACTTTCTTACACGTTTCCTCTACATTTGACCCCCTCACTCTCTCTCTCTCTCTCTCTCTCTCTCTCTATCTCAAAAGCTATCTAACACTCAGTCTCTTTTACACAATCTCTCAGGGACACCCCCTTCAAGTCGTACTTGGTAACCCCTGCTAAAGACTACCCCCGACCCCACCGTGAAAGGCACGCCACTGCCTGCACCACGTTAAAGATCCACACGCCCACTTCAAGTCAGATAATAAAATTAATCTCATTGCTTTTTCAAAAATTATTTTTCTCTATTGTACATACAGTTTATTTGTTCCACAGGATTTCAAGAGTTTAATCGCTCTAACACCATTCTTTCCCATCTGATTTGATGTCGGACCACGTCCGACTCTTAATGGCCGTATCTTTAGATTTAACCGTAGCCAGACATTGTACAGCATCAATCTTCTTCTTCTTATGCCGTTTGACCCCCGTCCGGGGCATAGGCATTCCACAAGAATGTCACAATCATCACGGTCCTGTGATTATCTTGACAGTTTCTTTTCTTTCCAGAATCAATGAGAATAATAAATTCAATTACAAACAAGACATCTTATCACAGGGTACATTCCCCGTTAAACAGAATGAGATTGAACAGCTTATTCTATCAACAGCACTATGGTTTGGTCTCGTACGTCTGGCCCTATCAACAGCACTATGTTCTGTTTTCGTACAGCTGACCCTTTCAACAGCACTATGTGTAGATTTCTTACAGCTGGCCCTATTAATAGTGCTTTGTGTAAGTCTCGTACAACTGGCCCTATCAACCGCACTATGTATAGTTCTCGTATGGCTGGGCCTTTCAACAGCACTATGTGTAGATTTCTTACAGTTGGCCCTATTAATATCACTTTGTGTAAGTCTCGTACAACTGGCCCTATCAACAGCACTATGTATAGGTCTCGTATGGCTGGGCCTTTCAACAGCCCTATGTGTACATTTCTTACAGCTGGCCCTATCAACATCACTGTGTATATGTCTCGTACAGCAGGCCCTATCAACAGAACTATATGTAGGTCTCGTATGGCTGGCCATTTCAACAGACTATGTGTCCATTTCTTACAGCTGGTACTATCAACAGTACTTTGTGTATGTCTCATACAACTGGCCTTATCAACAGCACTATTGAATCTATTATTCTGTACGATTTATAGATATTAAAGTCAACATTAAATCAGGTATGAGGAATTGGCGTCTGAACGAATTAACTCGTTAACAACTTTGATTTATGTCATTTTTATTTCAACGACAAAAAGAGAAGAAGAATTAGAACAGCATAAAGAACCTGACCTAAGGTGGACCTGCACATCTTTAACGTTGTGCCTGCAGTGGCGGGTCCTTGACGACAGGAGGGGGGCGTATTTTTTTATCTGGGGGTTACCTAGTATGACTTGAAATGGGTGTCCTAAACAGTCGTGTACCAGGCACAACAGAAAGGGTAGTCTTTATCAGAAGCGTATCTGGCGTATGAGTGAGGGAGAATTGTTTCTTTCAGAATTCCACCGGCTGTGGGGAGGATCTAACCCTAGAGAAGCCACGAGTGGCATAAACCAATAGAAGCCACGGTGACATTAACCCTAGAGAAGCCACGGTGACATTAACCCTAGAGAAGCCACGGTGACATTAACCCTAGAGAAGCCACGGTGACATTAACCCTAGAGAAGCCACGGTGACATTAACCCTAGAGAAGCCACGGTGACATTAACCCCAGAGAAGCCACGGTGACATTAACCCTAGAGAAGCCACGGTGACATTAACCCTAGGGAAGCTACGGTGACATTAACCCAATAGAAGCCACGGTGACATTAAGCCTAGAGAAGCCACGGTGACATTAACCCAATAGAAGCCACGGTGACATTAAGCCTAGAGAAGCCACGGTGACATTAACCCTAGAGAAGCCACGGTGACATTAACCCTAGAGAAGCTACGGTGACATTAACCCAATAGAAGCCACGGTGACATTAAGCCTAGAGACGCCACGGTGACATTAACCCAATAGAAGCCACGGTGACATTAAGCCTAGAGAAGCCACGGTGACATTAACCCTAGAGAAGCCACGGTGACATTAACCCTAGAGAAGCCACGGTGACATTAACCCAAGAGAAGCCACGGTGACATTAAGCCTAGAGAAGCCACGGTGACATTAACCCAATAGAAGCCACGGTGACATTAACCCTAGAGAAGCCACGGTGACATTAACCCTAGAGAAGCCACGGTGACATTAAGCCTAGAGAAGCCACGGTGACATTAACCCTAGAGAAGCCACGGTGACATTAACCCTAGAGAAGCCACGGTGACATTAACCCTAGAGAAGCCACGGTGACATTAACCCTAGAGAAGCCACGGTGACATTAACCCTAGAGAAGCCACGGTGACATTAACCCTAGAGAAGCCACGGTGACATTAACCCTAGAGAAGCCACGGTGACATTAACCCTAGAGAAGCCACGGTGACATTAACCCTAGAGAAGCCACGGTGACATTAACCCTAGAGAAGCCACGGTGACATTAACCCTAGAGAAGCCACGGTGACATTAACCCTAGAGAAGCCACGGTGACATTAACCCTAGAGAAGCCACGGTGACATTAACCCTAGAGAAGCCACGGTGACATTAACCCTAGAGAAGCCACGGTGACATTAACCCTAGAGAAGCCACGGTGACATTAACCCTAGAGAAGCCACGGTGACATTAACCCTAGAGAAGCCACGGTGACATTAACCCTAGAGAAGCCACGGTGACATTAACCCTAGAGAAGCCACGGTGACATTAACCCTAGAGAAGCCACGGTGACATTAACCCTAGAGAAGCCACGGTGACATTAACCCTAGAGAAGCCACGGTGACATTAACCCTAGAGAAGCCACGGTGACATTAACCCTAGAGAAGCCACGGTGACATTAACCCTAGAGAAGCCACGGTGACATTAACCCTAGAGAAGCCACGGTGACATTAACCCTAGAGAAGCCACGGTGACATTAACCCTAGAGAAGCCACGGTGACATTAACCCTAGAGAAGCCACGGTGACATTAACCCTAGAGAAGCCACGGTGACATTAACCCTAGAGAAGCCACGGTGACATTAACCCTAGAGAAGCCACGGTGACATTAACCCTAGAGAAGCCACGGTGACATTAACCCTAGAGAAGCCACGGTGACATTAACCCTAGAGAAGCCACGGTGACATTAACCCTAGAGAAGCCACGGTGACATTAACCCTAGAGAAGCCACGGTGACATTAACCCTAGAGAAGCCACGGTGACATTAACCCTAGAGAAGCCACGGTGACATTAACCCTAGAGAAGCCACGGTGACATTAACCCTAGAGAAGCCACGGTGACATTAACCCTAGAGAAGCCACGGTGACATTAACCCTAGAGAAGCCACGGTGACATTAACCCTAGAGAAGCCACGGTGACATTAACCCTAGAGAAGCCACGGTGACATTAACCCTAGAGAAGCCACGGTGACATTAACCCAAGAGAAGCCACGGTGACATTAACCCTAGAGAAGCCACGGTGACATTAACCCTAGAGAAGCCACGGTGACATTAACCCTAGAGAAGCCACGGTGACATTAAACCTACAGAAGCCACGGTGACATTAACCCAATAGAAGCCACGGTGACATTAAACCTAGACAAGCCAGGGTCCTCACTTACCCTAGAGCAGCCACGGTCTGCATTAATCCTAGAGAAGCCACCGGTGGCATTAAACCTAGACAAGCAAAGGGTGACACTAACCCTACACAAGCCACGGTTGCACTAGCCCAAGAGAAGCCACGGTGACATTAACCCTAGAGAAGCCACGGTGACATTAACCCAATAGAAGCCACGGTGACATTAACCCTAGAGAAGCCACGGTGACATTAACCCTAGAGAAGCCACGGTGACATTAACCCTAGAGAAGCCACGGTGACATTAACCCTAGAGAAGCCACGGTGACATTTACATTAACCCCAGAGAAGCCACGGTGACATTAACCCTAGAGAAGCCACGGTGACATTAACCCTAGGGAAGCTACGGTGACATTAACCCAATAGAAGCCACGGTGACATTAAGCCTAGAGAAGCCACGATGACATTAACCCAATAGAAGCCACGGTGACATTAAGCCTAGAGAAGCCACGGTGACATTAACCCTAGAGACGCCACGGTGACATTAACCCTAGAGAAGCCACGGTGACATTAACCCAATAGAAGCCACGGTGACATTAAGCCTAGAGAAGCCACGGTGACATTAACCCAATAGAAGCCACGGTGACATTAACCCTAGAGAAGCCACGGTGACATTAACCCAAGAGAAGCCACGGTGACATTAAGCCTAGAGAAGCCACGGTGACATTAACCCAATAGAAGCCACGGTGACATTAAGCCTAGAGAAGCCA